AGTGGGGCCCCCCCCCCCAACTTCCACTTTCAGCCCTCCCAGAGAGACAGTAGCAATAAGAAATATAATGTAGATTTACCCCTGCATGCGACCCTCCATTCCATAACCTATCTTTCCCCATTTATTTATTTATTTTCATTAGGTTTTAGATCACCCTCCCCTTGCCAAGGCAGGGCTCAGAGCAATGTAAAGGTAAAGGTTCCCTTGCTTGAAAGCCAGTCAAATCCGAATCTAGGGTTGCGGTGCTCATCTCCGTTTCCAAGCCGAAGAGCCAGCGCTGTCTGAAGACGTTTCCGTGGTCATGTGGCCGGCATGACTAAAAACCAAGGCGCACGGAACGCTGTTCCCTTCCCACCAAAGTGGTACCTATTTATCTACTTGCAATTTCTTGCTTTCGAACTGCTAGGTTGGCAGGAGCTGGAACTAGAGATGGGAGCTCACTCCATCATGCGGCACACTCGGGTCTCGAACTCAGGTACTGACCTTCCACAGCCTGCAGTGCAGCGTCTTAACCACTTGAGCCATTGCAGCTCCCAGGGCAATGTACAGCATAGTAAATTGATAACAGATACACTTTTAAAATGGTTTAAAAACAATAAAAACATACGGATTGATCTAAAAGATGGCACTAGAGAATTCCACTAGTGCCGCTGTGCGCTGAGGGCCTCCACTGAGAGCCAGATTGGCACAGGGGTTAAGAGTGCAGACTCTATTCTGGGTTTGATTCCCCACGCCTCCACATGCAGCTGCTGGTGTGGCCTTGGGTCAGTCATAAGAGCTGTTCTCTCATGGGCAGTTCTCGAGAGAGCTCTCTCAGCCCCACCTACCTCACAGGGTGTCTGTTGTGGGGAGAAGAAGCAAAAAGGATTGTAAGCCTGAGACTCCTTTGGGTAGTGAAGGGTGGGGTGTAGTTTGGTATAGTGGTTACGTGTGCGGTCTTCAGTCTGGGAGAACCGGCTTTGATTCCCCACTCCTCTACTTGCAGCTGCTGGATGACCTTGGGCAAGCCATGGTTTTGACAAGAGCTGTCCTTGAAAGAGCAGTTCTCTCAGCCCCTCCTACCTCCCACAGTGTCCGTTGTGGGAAGGGGAAGGGAAAGGAGATTGTAAGCCGCTCTGAGTGAAGGGTGGCATATAAAGCCAATTGCCTCCGCAGCTGCCTCCTCCTCCTTCTCCTCTTCTTTTCCTCCAATCTCCTCCCCACCCTCACCCCGTCA